TCTGTTATTTTTCTTGATCCTCTTTATTTAAGATAATGTGTTTGAAGATATTCATCACAGGAACGAATTAGTCAATGTGAGAATTGCCTTGATCCTCTTCTATCATTAATTGTTGGATCTATTATTTTCTTTGATCTCACAACATTGGAGTTTGTGGCTCATTTGTGATCTTCCTTGCTCCGTTTACGATCACCTAGGGTTTTCTTGTGTTTCTAATAAGGTCTGACATTCGGTTCACCGGTAGGGTTAAGTTTTTTAGTCAGGTTTGGTTTGGGTTTGTATTGACAAAGTTAACTAATTCTGAGGATCGACCAGATTTAAAAATAACTACGGATTACAAGGTTAGATGACTATTTATATTTTAAAATTATATTTTAGTGGACAAAATATACTTAATTAGTTATTTAATTTTCGAGGTGATTAGGATGAATGTTTGGTTCGCAGCTTGAATATTATTTGGGTTTTAGTATACTTCCTCAAAATATATTTAATTAAACAAATACGTTTTAAAGAAATGTTCGGTTTATTCATTATTGTGTCTAAAAAAGATTTCCACCATAGGGTTGGTTTGGTTTTAAGTTGATGAATATCGGTTTGGTTCAATTTTATCATTTCTAGCCCTCTCTTTTTATTTGTCTTTTGTCTAATCTGATTTAGAGATTGATTTTGCGGTGTACAGATCACATTAGTAGTTATTCTCCAACTTTCAGCAGCTGCAACCCTTCACGACTCAGGATGGCTTAAGATTGTAACCATTTCTTACTTCTTTGGATCATTCCTCAATCACAATCTCTTCTTAGCAATCCATGAGCTAAGCCACAACCTCGCCTTTTCAACTCCGGTCTACAACCGCTGCCTCGGTATTTTTGCCAACCTTCCAATTGGTGTACCAATGTCAGTAACATTCCAAAAATACCATCTCGAACATCACCGGTTCCAAGGAGTAGACGGTGTTGATATGGATGTCCCTACTTACACAGAAGCTCATTCAGTAACCAATATTATTACCAAAACCATTTGGGTTTTGTTACAACTCTTCTTCTACGCCCTTAGACCATTATTCGTCAAACCGAAACCACCCGGTTATTGGGAATTCATCAACTTTTTCATTCAAATTGGTTTAGACGTATCTGTGGTTCTCTTCTTCGGATGGAGATCTTTTGCGTATCTAATCTTATCAACGTTTGTTGGAGGTGGAATACATCCGATGGCTGGACATTTTATCTCGGAACATTATGTTTTTAACCCGAACCAAGAGACTTATTCGTATTATGGTCCATTGAATTTGCTAACATGGAGTGTTGGATACCATAACGAGCACCATGATTTCCCGAGGATACCGGGACATAAGCTGCATAAGGTGAAGGAGATAGCAGGAGAGTATTATGAAGGATTGGAGTCGTATAAGTCATGGTCACAAGTGATATACATGTATATTATGGATAGAACAGTTGGACCTTTTAGCAGAATGAAGAGAAAACTCTCAACAGCAGCTACACGTAATAAGTCTGAATAATTTATTTGTTCATTACTCAACATGTTTTCCTTTTATATCAAGATCTATGACTTTGTTCTGTTTTGATGTTTATTCGTTCTTTTTTTGTAATGTACTCAAGAAATTTCATGTGATCTTATGTTAGTTTATCTCACATTAAGACTTTAAAATATTTGTGGATGATAAAAAATTTGTAGTAATTTTCCACTCTTGATCTACTAATTAAAACATCCCCTATATATTATTTGAGAAGCATTACAACATGTTTTGGTAGCCACGTGTCATCATGAGAATGCTTCTCAAATTTACTAGAGAAAAATGTTAGCTCATATAAACATATAATATATTTTTTATTAAACTAAACATAAAATATTATTAATGCTATTCATATTTTCCTTATATAAATTTATAAAATTACCTAATATGGTTATAATATATATATATATATATATATATATATATATATATATATATGACAATTAACGATTTGAATATGAAGATTTGATAAAAAAAATTAAAGCCTTTACTATTTTTGTTAAATATATATTTTGTTAAACATATAATATACTTTTTATTAAACTAAGCATAAAATATTATTATTGATATTCATTATTTCCTTATATAAAATTTACGTAATTACCTAATATGGTTATAATATATATATATGACAATTAATGATTTGAATATGAAGATTTGATAAAATAAATTTAAATCCTTTAATAGTTTCGTTAAATATATATTATGAAAATAAATTAAACAATAACATTAACTATATAACAAAAAAAATTATTATTTTTATGCATGTTATATTTTTAATTTTTAAAAATGACGATAAATTAATATAAATTTAAAAAAAATCACAAGTAATATTTTTGATTAATAGTTTAAATCTCATATATATTAATCATGAAGCATTACAACATTTTTTCGTAGCCACGTGTCACAATGAGAATGAATTTTATAACTCTTAGAAAAATATGTTGGTCCAACTAAACATATATTATGTAGTATAATCTCTTTAAATTAATACTCTATAAATTAATATACACTCAAATTCTTTATAAAATAATATAATTTTATAGTTTCAAATTGAGTTTTTGGTTCAATTAGTATATCGATAAATTAATAATATCTATAAATTAATAAAAAAATTATAATTTTGGTGTAGTCCCAACATTACTAATTTATAGAGGTTCCACTGTATTTTGTTATACTAGCTATCATATTTAATTAGTATTGTACAAAAGAATATTCCTTATTATTTCCTTAAATAAAAGCTACAGAATTATCTAATATGATTAACATATATATCACAATTAATGTTTATGAATAATAAAGATCTGATAACAATTTTTTATCCTCTTTACTTTTTATTTAATTTTATATTGTTAAAAAAATAAAAAATCACATTAATAATATAATAAATATTTTTAGATTTGTTCTTATATGTTCTATTTTGAATTTTTTAAAACGACGATAAATTACTAAAAATGGTAAAAATATCCTTTGAAAATTTTGTGATCAATGATAACGTTTTTTTAGTTGAGCCAATTTTTTTTAACCAAAATTGGTTAGATATCCAAATGAATTCGAAATTTTGGAATCTAGATAACCAAAACTGAATCGAAATATTTTGGGTATCCGAGTGTACTCGAACCAGATTTATATACTTAAATATATTATTTATTTTTAAATTTAACATTTAAGAATATACAAAATATATGTGATGTTTTAAAATTTTCCAAAATACTTAAAAATATATAAAATAGTTAAATGCACATTTTTAAAATANAAATAGCTAAACGATACTCCAAATACCTAAAATATTTGAAATATTTATTGATTTTGTGTCCAAATATTTATGATAAACCAATTTTATGTTAAGTTTAAATATTTTGGCATTGTTTTTTCAAATTTATATGTTATATATTATTTTTACTTTTAGATTTTGAAAAACTTAAAGTATGTATGAATTTTAATATTTTTTATAAGAAAATTAAATGCTTATCTGAACCTAAACCCAACATGAACCTGCAAAAATTCTAACCAAACCGCAAATATCTAAAACAAACAGAACTAACCGAATCAAATGGTATCCAAATGCACATCCTAATCAAATGTAAAAAAACAGTTTTTATAGAAAATATATATTTAAATACAACATATTTTTAAAAAGCTCACTCCGTGCATGGCGCGGGTTATCATTTAGTTTACTAATATAGTATCAGCAAAACAAGGCTTCAAAATTTTATGTTAACCGTCTACAAGAATGAAAATAGTTTGCTTTTTTCATGTCCATTTTTATAAGAAAAAAATCTCAGAAATATAATTGAAAACAGTTTATAGAATATATATATATATAATATAATATAATACGATAAGGAATAAATAAAGTAAATAAAAAAAGAAATATAATAAATATTTTAAAACACGTGATAAATTCCAACTGAAAAGTAAGACTATTCATTTATAAATATATAACTGTTACTTTTAAATTCTTATATCTCGTGTTAATGTATACATAATTTTATTTTATTTATTTTAATGAGTGATCTAATGTTTTTTTAAAAGATAAAGATAATAAAATATTGATACCACAAACACTCGGGGCAAACGATACCACACGATGATGGGAGTGTGGTTTGGAACTTGCTGATTCAGTTATCCTCTCATTCTTTACATCTCTTATGAGTTTGATCAGTTTTGTAATGATCTCAGCTGTATTCTAAATTCCTTAATACTCTAGAGGCAGAGCCGTGTGAGTAATTTTTGTTGCCAGAATCCGAATCATAAAAATCTCTATAATAAAAATAATAATATACCTATAATAGAGAAGAAACTATAGAATTAAACAAACAAAAAAACTAACAAACAAACTATCAATTATACAACAAGATTCTTTTATTATTACAAAAATATTAATCAAGTATTTATTAAATTTTATAACTAATTTTAAAGCAAAGATTATTAATATGTTTTAATGCCATAATCGAACAAAGATAAGATTTTATCAATTTTATTTTCCAATGTTTCAAAAAGGCATTCAAAACTATAATCCTACATCTAATTACTCTTATTCGTTAACAAAAATAATTGTGTACATGCTAGCTTAGGAAACCCATATATTTATAAGCCCATATAATCCTAATTATTATAGTGCTTATTCAAATTCTTATAAAATTATGGCTCTCATAGTAATAGTCTAATAGATGATGCCCTCAATTTTTAAAAATATTTTGTTGCCATAAGCCAAGGTTTCATTTTCTTACACTGTAGCACATCACTGTCTAGAGGCATCCATTGTAAAAAAAATGTTTTTGGGATGAATAAATTTAACATTCATTCAAAAAAATATATTGAATTATAAACTCAACACATGAAACATAATTTAGTTTTATATAAAAGAAGAAAATAAACATTACAGCAGTAACTGAACATCTTTTATTCTTAAAGAAAAAAATATTATTACAGTTTTTCTGAAGAAAATATTTTTGTTAAATAATATTTATTGCACTTTGTTAATCGTTTTAATGGAAGCCTCTATATTCAAGAATTCGCCATGTAATAAACTTTGAGGGATCAGCATGAAATTGTCATGAGGAATTTGAAGACTCACTTTACGAATCCTTTTCACTTTTAGTGATTTGTAAATCATAGTTTGCCCACCAATAGTATAAGAGAGATCGTATGAGAACTCTTTGGCTTCTGAAGAAGATGGTGCAATGCAACATACAGATACATACACACCACACAGCTCTCTGAAACACTGAAATACAAACAACAAACTCTTCTCATGTTCCCTCATAATTGATACCTTATCGTTGATGTTCAACTCGAGAATAAAGGAATTGCCAGATGTGAACATATCACGATCACGAAGCATAGGTCTTTCCCGGTAGTAACTTTCCCGGTGGCCAAAGGTAAAGTGATCATAGATATCCTTGTATGAGGCAATGTACTTGCAGCCTGGTACAGGGCATGCGCAAAGAGAGAATTTGCAATCTTTTTCATGGGCTGATAGTTCTCCATAACATACATTTTTGGTGCAACCTAGCATGGAGCATGGGATAAAAATCGATTCAAGAACTTTTTCCATAGCTCTACATCTTTTGTTACCGATAGGCAAAGTACAAAAAGGGCATTTGTTCCTCAATTTAGGGCAGCACAAAGAGCAAGCCAGATGGCCATTATCACACTGGCACACAAAACCAACAAATAATAACCCAAGTTACATTCCAAAAAGAAAGATTGAGAAATCACACTAATTCATGAAATCCACTTTAAGAAAAATGAAAAATGGCAAACACTATCATATATTCCCTCTGTTTTATTATAGGTGTCACTTTACAACTGTGCACATGGATTAAGAAAACAATTAATTTTATATATTTTCTACATAAAAACATTGTTACCCATACACCTAACCATATTTTAACCAATAGAAAAACAAATTATATAAAAAATTAATAAATTTTACAGTGAAAACCGAAAACGACACTTATTTTGTAATGCAAAAAAATTCTCTACAACAACACTTAATATGAAATGGAGAGAATATCATCTTTCTAAGTAAAATTCTCAAAATGTAACCTGGAATATTGGAGCAATAAGTGGCTCGAAACAAATAGGACAATCGAATACTTCAAAATCGAGCATGGCGGAGCGTATTTTATCATCTGTTCTTTGCCTTTTTTGCAAGTGAATGTTGCTTGAATCGTTTGTATTGCTTGAACCACAATGCATAGCGATATGCTTAACGCAAAAAAAATTGAATTAAAATTGATCTGCCTGTACCAAATCAATGTACTTTTAATCTAGCCGACTTTATCTGCATAGTTAAGGCAAAATCAAAATCAGACTAATGAAGATTTATATTAAAAAAAAATAGTTATATTGAGCACATACCGATTATTTATAACAGATGTTTTCTTAATTATAAGTCATGATGTCCAATTGTACACCTATTTATAGGGGAAGTTTCATTTCATATTTTCATCCAAATTCCGATGTGGGACATTTTTTTTATTTGCATGAAAACACGCGTCTATAGATGTCCACACTTCATAATTATAACTAACTATTCTATGTTAATATTGACTTTTTATATATTCAGTCCAACTTTCCAGTTTTCCTATGAAATTGTTAGTTTTTGATATTTTTATTAATATATCTACCATATAATGTTTTTGACTGCATTAACAAATTCTTCTTGATAATAAGTTTTCTGTTATGCTGGAAATGACCTCTTCTTATCATAACTTTATATTCAGTGATAACTATGAGTGATATGATAACTAACACTACACTAGAATTTGACCTACATATTTGTCCGAATATTTTTTTTTAATTTTATAAATGTCTAATTTTAATATTATAGTAAATATTCTAAATATATCATTTATGCTTTATTTTTATATATTGTATAATTTTATAATCTTATTTTTTAGATTTTTATTTGATATTATGTTATATAATTCATTATTTATACATAATTTATTCTATTATTAGTTGTTATTACATTCTATGATATTTTTTGAAGTTCAGTAATATACTCATATTCTGAAATAATAAAATAGAGAATTTACTTCAATTTTTTTTCAGTTTCTACAATTTGCATACAATACATATTCTTTATTTAGGTATTGATGCAGCATGGATCACCTTCCCGTTTGGCTTTAACTTTCCTTTTCTCTTTTACGTTTAGTTATTAGATAAGCATTGTTTTGTTTTATCCTTATACATAAAGGATTATGATGCAAGATAAGGGAGGAGATTAGATTCGAATCCTCTTAGACTTAGGTCTTTTTCTTAGTATAAGTACGGGTCTTCTTGATTTATAAGAGACACGTTTTATTATCATATTAATCAAACAAGCTTTTGCATTCTTCATCCTTATTCCCGGCTAGAACCTTAGGCGTTCTCAACGTGATTAAGAAGACAACGGTTCTAGGTATTCTCTGACTAAATAGAATCTTTTGATTATCGTAGCGCAAGCTACATCAGTTGGTATCAGAGACAACCGTTTTAGATTTCTTAATCTAAAACCAACGATCATGGCACCAAGAAAAACCCCTGACGAACAACTGGAAGATATACGCCAGATGCTCGAAACGTTCACGATAGGTTTACAAGCGGCTTTGCAAACCTCCGTGGAAAACGCAGTTACCACCGTCCTTCATGCTCAACGTGAACAACAAGAAGCTCTAGGAGATCAAAAACATCGCGTTCGGCCTCACAACACCCAACGAGATGCATCTGATGACGAAGAGCTAGTAGAAAACTTGTTCGCTGCACACGATTACAATCAACGCGATCGTCGTGACAACGACCAGCGTGATCGACGTATTGTTCACCGTGATGATCAAATCCAGCAACGAAACCTCAAGCAACGATGGGAGTCAAGTTTCTGGTCTGATATTCCAGAATTTCCAGGGACATTAAACCCAGATGACTTCATTGATTGGTTGAATACCGCGGAAGAAATTCTCGAGTTTCGCCAAGTACCTGATGAAGTACGAGTTTCTTTAGTCGCTACGAAATTTAAGGGACGAGCTATGGCTTGGTGGAAACAACTCAAAGAATCTCGACGCCAGGTCAATAAACCATGTATCGAGTCATGGGGACGCCTGACAAAACATATGCGTAGGGGATTCTTGCCATTCAACTATGAGCGTACCATGTACAATAAACTACAAAATCTGAGGCAGGGAACGCGCTCAGTTGTGGAGTATGCAACAGATTTTCTCCATATGACAGCTCGTATGACATCAGGAGAAACACAGCAACAACTGATTTCACGTTTCATTGGAGGGCTTTGTTCTCAATTACAAACGGCTTTAGCACAGTTTAACCCCTCGACAGTATCTGAAGCCCATCAACGAGCAATCTCGATGGAACTTCAACTCCGTTCGTCATGGTCTATATCATCACGAACACGCTTTCAAACTCCATCAACCAATGAGAGCACGGGTCAAACTTTCTCTGACACTGCAGTAACCCGAACAAACTCTCAAAAACCTGGAAACAACTCGGAATCAATCGCGAACTCACGACCTCAACGAACCAACGCTCTTCGTTGTTTCACGTGTGGCGAACGTGGGCACATGCAGACAGCATGTCCTAAACAACAAAAGCGTGGACTTGTCATTCAGTAAGCTGCAGATGATGATCCGGTTTATGATGACTATGCAGAAGACTTGCAGGAAGATAATGAGGCTATACACGGGGACACCGGTCTGAGTTTAGTTTTACGACGAAACTGTCTTCTTCCCAAGGCTTCTCACGAATCATGGTTAAGAACCAACTTGTTTCGGTCTACATGCACCATTAACGGCAAAGTCTGTCAACTTATTATAGACTCCGGAAGTTGTGCTAACGTGATTTCACTTGAGGCGGCACAGAAACTGGATTTGGATATCACACCTCACCCGTCACCATACACTCTCGCTTGGCTAGACAATGGCACTGAAATTAAAGTATCAAAGCAAGCATTCATCTCTTTCTCCATCGGGCACTACAAAGACTCAACAACCTGACGTCGTTCCTATGGATGCGTGTCACCTATTGTTGGGTCATCCTTGGCAGTTTGATCGTGATGCAGTCCACCGTGGCAAAGCAAACACATATAGCTTCTTATTCGGCGATCGAACGATCATACTAATTCCATCCAAAGAGTAACCCGAACCAAGTGCACGAGCTACTAATGTTTCCCACAAAACTGCAACAGCTAAATCATTACTGACGTTACCAAAAGCAGCTTTCGAGAAACAACTCACCAGTGACATCGTGATATGGGATCTTATTGCCTCACCAACCACTACGACTACACCAACCACCATTCCGACCACGTTGATTCCCTTACTTGACGAGTTTAAAGAGGTCTTTCCTGATGAACTACCGAGTGATCTACCACCATTACGAGACATTCAGCACCACATAGACTTGGTCCCTAATGCAGTACTTCCAAATCGACCGCATTACCGGATGAGTCCTCAAGAACATGACGAACTATGGAGACAAGTTGAGGAACTTCTCACCAAAGGGCACATACGTGAAAGCCTGAGTCCAGCGGCAGTTCCTGCTCTATAGATCCCCAAAAAGGATGGGTCATGGCGTATGTGCGTTGATAGTCGCGCTATTAACAAGATCACAATACGTTATCGTTTTCCCATTCCTTGACTTGATGATCTTCTCGACCAGATCGGCTGCGCATCAATCTTCACCAAACTTGATCTCTAAAGTGGATACCATCAGATTCATATTCGCCCAGAAGATGAGTGGAAACAGCTTTCAAAACACAAGAAGGATTGTTTGAATAGACAGTCATGCCATTTGGTCTCTCTAACGCGCCAAGCACTTTTATGAGATCGATGAATCAAGCTCTACGTCCTTTTATCGGCAAATTTGTGGTTGTTTATTTCGACAAAATACTAATATTTAGTACTGACGTGGAGAGCCATTTATCCCATCTTCGTGACGTCCTTCTTGTCTTACAGCGGGAGAAACTCTTTGCAGCTCGCCATAAGTATATTTTTGGTGTTAACCACGTCCTCTTCTTGGGTTACACAGTTTCTGATCGCGGCTTGCAAGTAGATCCGGGAAAAGTAGAAGCTATTGAGTCATGGCCAACTCCAAAAACTATCAGTGAAATACGAAGCTTCCATGGACTCGCTTCGTTTTATAGACGGTTTGTTCCTCACTTCAGAAACATCGCCTCTCCTATGACTGATTGTATGAAAGGCGTTTCTTTCACGTGGACACCAGAGGCAAATGCTGCCTTCAAAGAGTTAAAAAGGCGCCTGATTTCCGCTCAGATTTTGGCATTACCCGACTTTACTCAGGTTTTTGAGCTTCATTGTGACGCTTGTGAGCTTGGGATTGGTGCAGTTCTCAATCAAAGTGGGCGTCCAATTGCTTTCTACAGTGAAAAGATTGCAGGTTCACGTGCACTTTATAGTACGTATGACGTTGAATTCTATGCAATAGTTCAAGCTATCAAACACTGGCATCACTATCTCTTCCATCAGGAGTTCATTTTATATACGGATCATGATGCCTTGAAACACTTGGGCAGCCAAGACAAGATATCAGCTCGACATGCTTCATGGACAGCTTTTCTTCAACAATTCACTTTCGTCATTAAACACCAATCTGGACGCACAAATAAAGTTCCAGATGCCTTGAGCAGGCGTCATTCTTTGGTCGCGACTTTGCAGCTTTCTGTTCCAGGATTTGCAGTCCTACCTGAGCAGTACGAATCAGATCCATTCTTCAGTTCGGTATGGTCATCATTGCAGCAGGGTGAACGAACAGATTTTGCGCTCCATGAGGGGTATATATATTTCTTGGAAGTAAATTTTGCATACCAGAGGGAAGCCTTCGCCTCAAGATAATTTCAGAAGTACACAATGAAGGTCATGTAGGAAGGGATCGTACGCTTCAACTTTTGTCTGATACTTACTTCTGGCCTTCTCTGCAAAAAGATGTTGCTCGTTTCGTCGAACGTTGTGTGATTTGTCACAAATTCAAAGACCACGCTACAAATAAAGGTTTGTATCTCCCTTTACCGGTGCCAACTCAGCCATGGACAGATATAAGCATAGACTTTGTTTTGGGTCTTCCTCGTACTCAACGTGGTCATGATTCAATCTTCGTCGTAGTGGATCGTTTTTCAAAAATGGCTAACTTTATTCCTTGCAAGAAAACAACAGATGCAGTTCAGGTCGCAATTTTTTTTTTCCGGGAGATTTATCGTCTTCATGGGTTACCATTATCAATAGTATCTGACAGAGATTCACGGTTTCTTAGCCATTTCTGGAGGTCTCTTTGGCGTCT